TGAACCCAGCAGGAGAACATCACATAGCTCTGTGTACAGATGCCGCCAAGTGAAGGTCTTTGCCTTGTTCAAGGTCAGGAAGTTCCACTACGTGTCCCACATCTGTTCGTTCTCCCACCCTCTTGACAAACTATCGGTACTCTTTGAGCTGCTACTCTACCACTTTGCCTCTCATTTTTAGTCAATGGCTATGTCTATTCTCTCTGGAATTGATATATTCCAGCCCAACATTTTAAATGACACCTCCATGATGAAGATTCTAGAATCTATATCTCTTGCTTTGACCTCTTTTCTGTGTCAAGAACTATGTATTTCATATACCTGCTGAATTTTTCATAGACATCTCAAACTGAGCATGATATAAATGGACCTGATGTCTGTACCTATTTCTACTCATCTCCAATCCTGTCATTGTAAATGGCAACACCATTTACCCAGAAACACTAACTTTAAACCCCAAAACTATCCTCAATTCCAATCCATCAGCAAGTTTTACCTATTGGGCTGTCAGAAAAGTCATGACATATTTTTTTTCTGGTTTTCTATGCAAAAGTGCATCATGACTTTTCCAACAGCCCAATATTTTGTGAAATCTCTCTCTCCCCTCCATTGCCACAATCGCTTCCTCGTCCAACCACCATCCCTACACCTGGCCCATGTGATGGTCTTCTGACGGGTCCCTTTGTCAGCTCTCTGCCACCTTCTCCTAAAAATTCAAACCTCTCCATGTGAATTCATCTTCATTCACCTCTTAGAAGCATTTAACATTAATAGCCACTTCCATTTTTTGGAATGTTTTCTCCCCGGCTTCCAAGACATATCCATCCCCTGATTTTCCTTCCGGGCTACTTTTACCTCGCTGCTTTCCAGTTTTACCCTCTCTCCCTGGCCATTTCATATTCGAGATCCTTCAGGCTCTATCTCAGGTCTCTCCTCTGACTCTAACTCCATTCCCCAGCCCAGCCCCAAGATCTCATTACTGCCCACATCAGTTATGCTGATGACTAACATTGATATCCCCAGCCTGGAAGTCTTCTTTAAGCTCCAGAGCTATACATTCAGCTGCCTCTTAAATGTCTCATACCTATCTTAAATGTATCACGCTCAAAATTCAGCTAAAATTAAATTCCTTCCCCAAACATCGTCCTCAGGAGGCTCCTTAGCCCAGTGCTTGGCCCCAAAGGTACAGTCAGTTTGCACAAGGCAGAACTCAGAAATCACACTTCCCTCTCCCTCATCCTCACCCCCTCATTCCACACACAATTCAATTGCAAAATGAAGAGGCTGCTTCCTAGCCTGGGTAAGGGCCTTAAGATTTCTGCATTCTGTTTTCTCATCTGTGAAATTGGTCTTATAATAGAACTTACCTCACAGAGCTGGTGGGAGCACTAAATAATATATGTAAGTTGCTTAAAACGGTGCCAAGCACATTTAAAATGATAACGAAAACATACGGAAACTGTTGGCTATGATCATTGAATAATGTCTAATAAAATCCTGTCAGTCCTATCACCCAAGTGAATTTGGAATCCATTCATTTATCTCCCTCTGTGCTCTTGCCGCCCCAGCCCCAGCACTCATTACCACCACTTACCTGCAATACAGGAACCAGTTGGCCCTGTCCCCTTTGCTTCCATACTTGCCATACTGTATAATTTTTAGGTTTTTCCATAGGCAAAAGCTCACTAGAGACAGAGAGAAGGAAACAGAGAAATCACCCACCCCCTCCCCCTGCAGTCGGGGGATGGCTATGACTCACTCCCTTCTCCATTCTCTTGAGATTTTTGAGAATGCATGCACATGCCCCTGGCATGATTTTGAAGCTGCCAAGTCTGGGACTAGAACCACAGTCGACCACTTGCTGTTTCTCTCCAACCATCTTCATTTTTTTTGGGGGGGTAGGTTTTTGCTATAGAGCGCATGTGCTTGCCAGACAGAGATAGAGAGACAGAAAGGGAGAAATCATCCACCCGGGGGGATGGTCATGCCACAATCCCTTCTCCTCCATTCCCTCTTGGGATCTTGGGCACGCACGCACAAGCACCTGGCATGAGTTTTAAGCCACCGGGTCCGGGACGCAAATTGCAGTCGACTACATGGGAGTCCAGCAACATAACCATTATGCTAACTGCTGGTCCCTCACTATGTTCATATTTTAAAAATGATTTTCCACTAGTTTTAGGACACATGCAAAACTTCTATATCCATGAGTGTTCATCTCTGTTCATCATAGTGTTCATTTCTGGCCCTG